ATACATCAGGATAAAATCGTAGAAAAAGAATGCACATTTATTGTAGTCAAAAAAGAAAAAAACATATGGCAAGATACTAGACCACCAAAGAAGCCGAACCTAAAGAAAGATTAGAGAAGCCTTGGATGTGTTTTGCACCACTCTGGGTGTTTTCTCAACATGGAAATTACAATATTATTAATAATAGTAATGTAATAGTATTACTGCATGACATGCATTACATCACATATACATATTATACATATACATACATATATGATACAGGCCACTCCTCTCAAGCACCACCCCTCTCTCATACTTTATATTGGCTTCCTGTACTTTTAAACAACTCTAGCCCCCTCTACATTTGTTCACTAATTCGTAGATATGCTCCTTCTCAATCTCTCTGCTCTACCATTGACCTGTCAGCTGGTCTTGCCTTACTGCTAACTCGCTCAGGCAATATGGGCGTTGAATGTAAACCCAGCTAAATAGGCAGGAAAACGATGGACAGCCGAAATCCAATTTAACAAACTTTATTCTTAAAATCAGTAACACACTTCTCAAATGTATTCCTTCTCATCAGTGTCTCGGGTATAACATGCTAAAAAGTCCTCAGCAATACCAGTAGCCGGCACTCTGGATTCCCAGGCTATAGCGTTCGTACCGGTGGGCGGAGTTCGATGACGTCTTTCGTGCAGCGTAATAGCGTGCCAATGAGAAACAATGCAAAGGTTTACATCAGATCTTCTCAAGCATACCCACAAGGACGCCCAGCTTATCCTCATAGGAACAACAGTATCAGATGTGCACTAGATAATTCCATATAATGGCTTTATAAGCTTTACACTGAAAATGCACAATTGTGAATAGTACTTGGGAGGGGGAAACAACATCATCAGAACACACTTTTAGTATGATGCTGAAATGCAGCAAACTTTTTTTCCTTATCTCCTAATTACCAGTCATATTGACTCTTGCACTCCTGTAGGTAGTGTAAGATTTTCTGAATCCTTAGTAATACTATGTAAATGAAGCAGACAAAGTTCTCTTAGAACAAAGTGAGTTGTCCACTTCTAGCATAGTAATTAAAACTGAAGTACAGTAGCTAAAGGTCAGAGAACTGTTGTGTATAAAATAGATTTTTTTATGGGACATGTAGGAATTGGCAGCTAAAATAAAGAAACTGCTAACTGAATGAAACAGACTGAATCAGTAAACTGAACCTGTTTGATGGCCGATAAAACCACCATTCCTTTTTAGGAATATATCATATTCCTTTATAAAATATCTATAATTATTAATGGAAAGATTGGCACAGTTTCACTAGATTTGTGATGTGCCCCTTTAGGATTACTTGGATTACCAAAGAGCTGCTGCAGGCATAATAGACTATAAGTAGGCCATTATGCATAAAAATAAAAATAAAAATATTAAAAAAAATATAGGAAAAAAAGGCCACAAAAGGTAAAGATATTTTTGTGAGGAACTGCTAGAAGGGATGGTTGCAGCCTCAACAATTACAATATGGAGTAAATTACTACAGAAAGTGACTTGTACAGATAAAGTGGGAAAAAGAGGATGGGGTGGCTAGGTGACTGCCATAGAAAAAGGACTGAGTGTTTAACCCCTTAAGGACCAAACTTCTGGAAAAAAAAAGGAAATCATGACATGTCACACATGTCATGTGTCCTTAAGGGGTTAAAGCAGTGGACAATTGCAAAATAGTGAGCATAGGGTCAAAGAACTGACTATACGACTAAAGATGGCTGCCAGACTTATCTCCTTCAAGCTCCGGTCAAAATGTACTGGCTTTAATGACACGCAGGCATGACAATTTATGCAAGTCCATAGGTCCAGAGACAACCCCCTCTGGACCTGATGGGATACAAGACAATACAATATTTTAACCAATAGCATTACACTGTATCTTTTGAAAAGGTACCCACCCAACTTGGAGATAATGGGTTCCAACGGTTATACTAACCCAATTATCTCCAAGCGCATAGAAACACCACGTTTTATACCCACATGAAAAACAGCATAAAAATACATAACTTTTATGTCCTAATATTAACATGGCCCATTCAACCAGTCTTCAGACAGCTCGGATCTGAGCGCACAAGATATGCGAATTGCGCTCAGATCTCACGAACGGTGTATGATAATTCTAAATTACAAATTCTCTTTGTTGGCTTTTTCACGAACGGGGAAGACAACCAGCATCTGAGCGGGGTTCGTGCAAACCTTTGGCCGATTCTAGTTCCATAGGTTTTAGGCTTGGGTCCTGCTGGGTATTTAACAACCTCCAAACATGGCCGCCGCCTCGTGTTCGGTATACGAACGGGGCCCACCGTGAAAGAGGTGCTTAATCTGCGGTTAACCGCAAGAACCACATGTTAATTGAGACTACCCGCCAGTATGCAGGTGGTCGTCGTTCGGTAGTCTTTCGTCAGTTGAATACGTACTCCGTTCGGTAAATTGTTTACAAACGGGGCCACCCTGGGGGCCAGTCAATTAGGATGTGGTTAACTACAAACCGCAACTTTACGGAGGTTAATTATGGGCACCCTCTGCTCGTAGAGTGGTCGACCATTCGTCAAGTCTTTCGGTTGTTCGAAGGGTGACTGGGGATAAGTAAAAACATCCAGACTGAAATAACAAAGAACAGTATCCATTGCGGTGAACTAAAGTGATAGTCTTGTAGCAGTCAGAGAGGCTTTCGTAACATGCATCTTGTGTGTGTATAAGGTGCACTCACTGTATCGAAATGCAGGTTTGCAGTCTGGATACAGAGAGTTAGTCTCTGCATTCATTGTTTAGAAGCGTGCAGTGTCGCGGCTTCCTGTGCCCCTGCATTGTGAGCTATCTGGCTGTAGTTGTAGCATAATTTGCAAACAAAATTGATTTGTTAAATTAAATTTAGTTTGTAATTATGCCAATCATTTATACACAATTGTGGGGTATGGTTGTATAGCCTGGCAGTCATGTATAAATAAGTACTGGCGTGAGGGGGTTATTGTTTGAGCAAAAAATATTTAAAAAAAAATCGTTAATGATAAAGTAACAGATTAAAAAAACAAAAAACAGTGCCATAGATATTCCCCCCATGGTTGACATGGTTCGAAAAGGGAGAGTGACAGTGCGAGTGGAGGTAAGTGTGTCAGGGCAAAGTGTGTCAGGGTTGGGGTGAAGGGTTACTGTGGATTAGGAGTTATTAATGTGAGTGTGGATGCATGAAGGGACTTGCAGTGTGAGCGGGTTGGCAGTGTGAGGGGTGATACCGTGTGTGTGTGTGTGTGTGTGATACTGTGTGTGAGGGGTGATACTGTGTGTGTGTGTGAGGGTGATACTGTATGTGAGGGGGGATACATTGTGTGAGAGGGGGTGACACTATGTGGGAATGGAGGTGATACTGCGTGGGAGAGGAGTGATACTGTGAGGTAGGGGGGTGATGGTGTGATGGAGGGGGTGATGGTGTAAGGGGGGGATGGTGGTGTGAGGGAGAGGGGTTGTTGATGGTGTGAAGGAGATGGGGTCATGATGGTGTAAGGGAGATGGGGTGATGATGGTGTGAGGGAGGGGGGTGATGATGGTGTGAGGGCGTGATGATGGTGGTGTGGGGTGATGACGGTGTGAGTGGGTGATGATAGTGTGAGGGGGAGGTGATGATGGAGTGAGGGAGAGGGGGTGATGATGGTGTGAGAGGGATGATGATGGTGTGGTGGTGATGATGGTGTATGGGGTGATGATGGTGTGATGGAGAGGGGGTGATGTGAGGGAAAGGGGGGTGGTGATGGTGTGAGGGAGGGGGTGATGGTGTGGGGGTGATGATGGTGGAGGTGATGATGGTGTGAGGGGAGGATGATGGCATGAGGGAGAGGGGGATGGTGTAGAGGGAGGATGATGGTGGGGGGAGGATGATGGTGGGGAGAGGGGGTGAAGGGGAGGTGGATGTGTGATGATGGTGGAGGGTGATGGGTGAGGGTGGGAGGTGATGGTGAGGGAGAGGATAAATGATGGTGTGAGGGGAGGTGATGATGGTGTGATAGTGGAGGGGTGATGATGGTGTGGGGGGGGATTGATATGATGGTGTGAGGGAGAGGGGATGATGATGGTGAGGCGATGATTGGTGTTGATGGTGTGAGGGGTGTGAGTGAGGTGATGTTTGAGGATGATGATGGTGTGTGAGAGGAGGGGTGATGATGGAGGGTGATGATGGTGTGGGGTGATGATCTGGGGAGGTGATGATGGAGGAGGGGTGATGATGATGAGAGGGGGTGATGATGGTGTGAAGGGGAGTGATGATGGTGTGAGGGGTAGGTGATGATGGTGTGAGGGAGAGGGGTATTGATGGTGTGAGGGAGGGGGGATGATGGAGTGATGATGGTGTGATGGATGGTGTGAAGGAGGGGGGATGATGGTAAGGGATTAAATACTTTATTTTAGCTCCATGGTGGTCTGGTGGACACGTGGACTCCCTCCGGTGGACCAGTGGCTTTAATAGCCAGTGCTGCAGACCATGTATCTTGCGAGATTCAGTCAGAGTGTTACCGTGCTAACCTGCAGCAACGCTCTGACTGGCAAGATCTAACAAGACACATGGTCTGCAGCTCTGCATGTTGCAGAGCTGCAGACCTGTGTCTGCGATTGGCGCTCTCCGGCCGGGCAGACTGGAAGAGCCTCGCACCTGGTGGCATATAGAGCAAGTTGCTGGACCCCCTCCTGTTGTCAGGTCCTCGGTCACTGACTGAGGACCCGACACAATCGGCCCTAAGGTGGTTTAGGGGGCCGTGAGGCCCCAGGCAGCACAAGGTCTTTGGCGGCCGTCTAAATCACCTAATTAGAGAGCCGCCTCTGCTACCAATCATCTCCTGCAGACATGGGACAATAGAGTAAGAAATCTAAAGCTGACAGAGCCCCTGCAACCACCAATATAATGGTGATCTTCTATGGAGGCTGTGAACCTCACAGACACCTACAAGAGTGTCTCTGTTGGAAGGGCCTTTGCGAGCATGAAGAACAAACCTGGAGCAGAAGCTTTTGGCCCTGCAGAAAGCTCAGACACAAGACCAAGACCGCACGGCAGCTATGGAAGACAAAAGGCACTGGAAAAACTCAAAATATGTGGTCTGTCTGAAAATATCGAGACTGTTGAGCTTACCCACCTATATTTAACTCTGCTTTTCTTGGCTAAACAAGCCAAAATGATGCTGCTGGATGAATGGTGTAAGATCCCCAGACAGGCTACAAAGATTGCTTGGCCTTCATGGCAGCCATACGTAATAAGACACCATTTCACATTGAAGAGCATACAATGGGCTTCATCCCTGACTTGATAAGGGCCATCATGGATTGGCGATGTTCCCTAAGACCCCTGAAAAGGAACTAATTTACCGCAAAATGCCATACTTCTGGGGCACACTTCAATTCCTGATAATTCTCAAGGTCTCTGGCAGTCTTTGAATCTGTGAGGGTTTAGGGATACCTGCTGCTTTGTAGACTCTGTGCAGGCCACAGACTCACCAAATTCCCCTCTCCCGACTACCTTAAGAGCTTGGAATCCAGAGAGGATTCGCTCATTTGTGCCAGCAGCTCACCGGAGAGAACCATCCTTTGCCATAGTGCCTTAAATTATTTACAATCTACTTTATTGTTTTATGTTTTACTTATGGTTTCTTTTACATACTCTTGTGTTTCTGTAATCTCCAGATGACATACAAAGTATTTCTAGAACATTGTTTTCTACTAGATGCCTACTGGGAGTTATCTATAGCTTATACTCAGGGCCAGTGCAAGGATTTTTGTCTACACAGGCGAAGATGCATTTTGCCGCCGCAAAATACACCTACACCTGTGTGCCTATTAATCCTTCTTTTACTCGTATTAAGCATAATTTTGCACGTTTTGTGCATCCTGATGCCTTTTTGTTACTCTTTTTCATTTTTGCTTTTTGTATCGGTCTAGATGAAAATGCATGTTCTTGGGTAGAACATTAGCTTAAAAATAGAGTACAAAGAGTTGTCATTAATGGTAAATTTTCAAGCTGGACAGAGGTGGCAAGTGGTGTACCTTAGGGTTCTGTTCTGGGACCCCTTTTATATAACATGTTTATAAATGATATTGAAAAAAGCATTGAAAGTCATGTTTCAGTGTTTGCAGATGACACAAAACTCTGTAAAGTAATACAATGTGAGCAAGATATTACTTTGCTGCAGAGGGATGTAGATAGACTGGGGGACTGGGTACTCAAATGGCAGATGAAATTTAATGTTGAAAAATGCAAAGTTATGTACTTCGGGGTAAAGAATGCACAAGCAACGTACACCTTTAATGGAAGCAAATTGGGAATAATAACACACGCCTTGCGGCTAAAATGCCCCTGGTTACAGGCAGACAGTCACACACAGTTACAAGCAGTCACACGCACACAGTCACATGCACAGTCACACATATAGTCACAGGCAGTCATATACACAGTTACAGGTAGAGAGTTACACACAAACACAGTCAGTTACAAGCAGTTACACACAGTCACGCACACTGCTACAGGCAGACAGTCACATATACAATCACACACGGTCACAGGCAGACAGTCATACATATAGTTACAGCCACAAACACACACAGTTACAGACAGTTACACACACAGTCAGTTACAGGCAGCCACGCACAAAGTTACATGCAGACAGTAACACACAGTTACAGGCAGCATCACACAGTCACAGGCAGACTGTCACACACAGTCACAGACAGTCACACACACACAGTTACAGGCATGCAGTCACACACACACTCACACACACATACACACACAGTTACAGGTAGACAGTTACGCACACACAGTTACAGGTAGATAGTTACGCACATACACACAGTTACAGGCAGACCGTTACACACACACACACAGTTACAGGTAGACAGTTATGCACACACACACAGTTACTGGCAGACAGTTACACACACACACACACATATTTACAGGCAGACAGTTATACACACACAAGACAGACAGTCACACACACACACACACACACACAGTTACAGACAGAGAGTCACACACACACACACAGTTACAGACAGACAGTCACACACACACACACAGTTACAGACAGTCACACACACACAGTTACAGACAGACAGTCTCACACACACACACACACACAGTTTCAGGCAGACAGTTACACACATTGTAGCGAAGAGCTGGTATTACACAGCCTATCTCCTCTTTAGATCCCAGGGAGGTTCAGGAACAAGCAATTATAAATCCATAGGGTAAAGTATCCAGCAGGCAAAATAACACAGCAGTATCCCAGCAGCAATCCCAATAACTGGACGACACACAGTATCAGGAGCAGAACTAAAGATTTATTCACACAGTGGCCTTATAAAGCCTGCTCCCATGCAAGGGAGGGATTTCCATTAATTTGTACAGTAGCCAATCCTGCTCTGGTAACCTCCCACACATCTCCTCCCCTCGGCCTGCATCATAATCCCCTTATCCAGCACACCAATTCCCCCCATTTCTGGATGTACCCCTAAACTTATGTACAACTTTAAATTATACATCCCCTGGTAGCCCTGATCTGGGTGAACAACATATCCAAAAATCACCCAGATCAGACCAGGGGTTCGGGAAATTCATGGAGGGAATAAAATGACCGACCGCAATAGATAGAACAGCCGAATGGGGTTCCATGCGATGGGGCCCTGCGGTCGGTCCTGGAGTAAGGGAATAAACTGCACGAAAGCCTCTAGCTACAGAGACTAGGGAGGGTTCGCCTGAATCCCCTCGTTCTGTGTTTCTATCTACCGAACAAGGGGCCGTTCGGTAGTTTGGAACCAAACGGACCGGGCTTGTGGAGGTGTCAGCGGTGTTCGCCTAGTCGAGTGCCCAATTTCAGTTCCAGACACTCGACAGCAAAACACAGCTGTTCGGGAGTTTTAAAATGGCCGCCGCCACGTGTTCGTTTCCCGAATGGCGGCCACCCCCAAGAACAAAGGACGGCTACTCAGCTTGTCAATTACCCGTTCGCAACAATGTTGCAACGGGTAATTGAAGGCACACTTCACACAGGGGAGGTCTGACTGTTCGGTAGTTTCATTAAACAAACTAAGGGAATGAAACTACCTAACATTCAGACGAATACAATACATTTAACACATATAACTTTGCTATTTTACACGAATGCATTCGAACACATGTAATTCTCAGGACAGCCCAGTGCCATCCGCTACACACACTCTTATACTTACAGACAGTGTGGGCTGGAGGAGTGGATTCCCTGGCCTGAAGTCCTTTCCTGGCTGGAGGTGGAGTTGCAGGGATTTCTGCTTGCTGCACCTCCATGTGCAGCAGTTACAGCAGCTTGTAAGGGCCATGTTAAGCCCCGCCCCCGCTCACGGTTAGGCTCCACCCTTAAACGGACGTAGCTCCGCCCCTTCTTCCTCCCGTGCGGCCAGTTCATCTTGCTGGTCTCCGTGTGAGCTGTGTCACACAGCCCCCTCCAGCCCCTACCAGGTGGCACCCGGGGCGGACCGCCCCCTCTGCCCCCCCCCCTTAGTCCGCCACTGATGGGGGGCAGTGTAGGTGTGGGGGTGCAGTTTGTTTATGGGGGGCAGTGTATGTGTGTATGGGGGGCAGTGTATTTGTGGAGGGGCAGTGTATGTGTGGGGGGGCAGTGTATGTGTGGGGGGCAGTGTGTGTATGGGGGCACTGTATGTATGGGGGGCAGTGTATGTGTGTATGGGGGGCAGTGTATGTGTGTATGGGGCAGTGTATGTATGGGGGGCAGTGTATGCATGGGGGCAGTGTATGTGTGTATGGGGGCAGTGTATGCGTATATGGGGGAGGAAGGAGGGTAGGTAGGCTTTTAAAAAAAAAAATGTATTTAATAAAATAAATATATTGATGTCCCCCCTCCCTTCTTACCTTTATTGAGGAGGAGGGGGGACATTCCTCCGTCCCTTTTGGTCCCAGTGGGAATCCCTGGTGGTTCCAGTGTGGAGTGAAGTCTAGCCCGCGCTCTAGGGCTAGACTTCACTCTCGCAAGATTTGGAGTGTTGCTGTGGTAACCGCGGCAACGCTCCAAATCTCGCAAGAGGAGGAGCCGGAGGAGCTGCAGACTTTGTTCCCAGGTCCTCTCTCCCTCCCCTGCCTGCTGTCAGCAATGTGCCTGCGGACCGGGGAGGGAGATCACTGATCTCCCTCCCCGGTCCGCAGGCACATAGCAGGACTGGCACTTGGACAATGCCAGCCCTGCATTAGCCGGCAGGGGAGAATCTCGGGGCGGGGGGCAATTGCCCTGTTGCCCCCCCTGGGTCCGCCAATGCTCTCAGATAACCATCTAAGGGAAACCACGACAGGGCAATGAGCTTAAGGAATAATTTAGATTAAATAACCCTTTTGCAGATCCGATTGGCCATACCTAGCCTTTGACCCCAAAATGTGCGTGTGCATCTTTTGGGTGACGTCACCCACACGTAGATGTCACCTTTACCGTGGATGGACGTGGGGCTATATAATAGAGTGGGACTGCAGCGGCCGGCGTCCACTGACATGTCGCAAAAGCCAGGCATCATGGCAGAGGACCGCCGAGCGGCACTCCTCTTAATCTTAGGAAGGTAATTATCTCCATGTTTGTCACATGGAGATGAAGAATACATGACAGTCATATATACACACTAGCTATTACACTTACTCACTGGGTCATCTATACACACTCTCTGTTTCCTATCATTGCTCCACACAAGTCTCACCAGGTGTTGCTGACCTTCTCTTTACCACAGCACTCGCCACAAACGGTTCACCGCGGACTCATCATTGAGTAAACTTTGACCCTGTACCTCACAGTCAGCAGACACATTCCAGCCAATCAGCAGCAGACCCTCCCTCCTAGACCCTCCCACCTCCTCGACAGCTCACTAAGAATGCAGCTTCAAAATGGATGCTGACCAGGAGGTGGGAGGGTCTGGGAGGGAGGGTCTGCTGCTGATTGGCTGGAATGTGTCTGCTGACTGTGAGGTACAGGGTCAAAGTTTACTCAATGATGAGTCCGTGGCGAACCGTTCGTGGGCGAACCGTTCGTGAACCGTTCGGCGAACCGTTCGGGACATCACTAATTACCATCGCCTAACCTGACATACTGTTTTAGAGAAATCTTGTGTACCCTATCACT